ACAACAACAACAAGAACAGGTAATAGAGTTCTTATTTAGCCTTATTCTAGTGAAAGAAAAGGTTTAAAGCCTTTTCAGTGATTAAAAAAGTTACAAGTGGAGCAAGTAAAAGTGATTGTGAGTAGGGATTGATTCTGGGAGTCCTGGTGTGGTGCTGTGGGTTAATGCTGGACTTCAAAGTCAGTTTGAACCATAAGGTTGGCAGTTCAAGCTCACCAGCCACTCCTTGGAAGCCTTATACAGAGTTGCTATGGGATGGCATATAACTCAATGGCATTTAACAGGGATTGATGTAGTTGTTTCAAATGAGGGCAAGTTTACACAGTATTGAAGAACAAGTTGCACTCTTGGTGTGGCTCTGTAGGATTATCACTGGATTGCGTACCAAAGAGTCAACAGTTCAAACCCTCCAGCTGCTCCTCGAAATCCTATACAGGGATGCTGTGGGTTGAAGCCTACTCAACAGCACTTAACAACAATAAGTTATGTTTATGCCAGACATTCCTAACCCCCATGGAGACTTACTATATGTTAATCCCTAAATAATTTGTGGCATTTTAAGCATGTTTCATAATTTTATACAAATGATGCAATGAGAGTACTGCTCTCCCTTTTACTTTTTTTGCTTAGTAGTATGTTTGTAAGCCTTTTTTATGCTGATAGGTGTTTATTTTTACTAATGTATACAATCCCATTGAAGGACTGTGCCTCAATTTTTGCATTCTCCTGTTGAAGAACATACATAGGCTGTTTCAATTTATTTTTCTTTATTGCAGTATTTTTTTTAATTGTCACAATATATAGAATTGAACATGTCTCCTATACGTGTGTGAACATTTTGAAACTCTGTGAGATTTCTTCCTTGGAGCATCTTCACTAGTTAGATATTGGTAGATAATTCTCAGAATGATTAAACTACCAACGAGCAGTCTACCTGAGTTACACTATTCCACAGCATCACTTACACAAAGTAACGAAATGGTCATACATACGATTGTCAGACTGTAAGGTTTGCAAGTTGCATGGATATGAAATGGTTTCCCATCATGATTATAATTTTCATTACCTGATGACAAATTTATTTGCTGACCACATTTCTTTGGAATTTCCTGGGGTTTTTTCTATTATCCGTGTTTAAATTGGATTATTTCTTTTTTTTTTTTAATTTCTTTATATGTTCTAGGTACTACTTTTTCATTAGTTATATAAGTTAAGTTTATCTCCTACAGTCTCTGACTTGTCCTTTCACTTTTTTTTGAAGTCGATAATTTCAGTGTAATGAACTTTAAGTATAATTATCTTTATTATTTGTGTTTTTTTGTGTCTTGTTTAAGAAATAACTTCCTGCCTACAGATCCAAGTCTTAATTTCCTCTGGATATTTTTGTTGTTGTGTTGTGTGTGTGTGTGTACCCTTATTTTAAGGTCATTGGCTGGTAGGAGTAAGGAGTTAGGGTTAGGACTATGGCTAGGTCTAAATTAGGCCTAGAATTTCATTTAGTGTTAGGGTTATTGTGAAGACTGGGTTCAGTGTTAGAAGTAGGACTGAGTTAGGTCTAGGAATAAAGTTTGGTCTAGTTTTAGGTTATAAGGAGCTCTGGTAGCGTAGTGGTTATGAATCGGGCTGCGAACCTTAAGGTTGGCGGTTCGAAACTACCAGCTGCTCCGTGGGAGAAAGATGAGGCTTTCTATTCCCGTAAAGATTTACACCCTCGGAAACCCTGTACAGGGTCGCTATGGGTCGGAATCGACTCGACGGCACTTAACAACAACAACAACAGTTTTAGGTTATAGTTAGGTTTATTTTTATTTATTATATTTTCTCTTGAAATCTACTTGATTTCCTCTTCGTTTAGAAGTTCTGTAACTATTAGGGTGAGTCAAAAATTATCCACATTCTGGTTATATTAAAATGCCCATCCAAGTCCACAGCTGATGACAAAATTGTTCATGCACGTAAAATGATTCTGTAAAATAGACAAGTGACAGTGGATTATGTGGCAAGTCATTTGCAAATCATCCATGGCTCTGCTTATGAAATAATCCATGACAGACTTGGGTTTAGAAACGTTTGTGTGAGATGGGTACCAAAGCAACTCAAGAAAGAGCATAAACAGAAGCGTTTGGATATCTGCAAACAAAATTTGGACCAGTACTCAAAGAGAGGTAAAAGTTTCTGTAAAAAAATCACTACTGGTGATGAGACATGGATTCACTACAAGCCTGAGAGTAAACAGCAGAGTGTACAATGGAAACATACTCAACCACTGACCAAGAAAAAGTTAAAAAGTCAGCCATCAGCTGGAAAATTGATGTTTACAGTTTTCTGGGATTCTCAAGGGTCAGTACTGGAATGGTATCAGGAAGAAGTTGAGCAATCAGCAGTGCTCATTACAGTGAGATGCTCACTGAACAGCTGAAGCCTAAACTTCCCATTAAACTCAGAGGACTGCTATCCAAGGACATTGTGATTTTGTATGACAATGCATGTCCACGCACGTCTGCCCACACTGTAGACACTACAAAAATTTGTTTTAAGGTGTTAAAGCATCCTCCCTGTAGTCCTGATCTTGCTCCATTGGACTTTTACTTGTTTGGTTCCCTGAAAGCGGCCCTTTGAGGACAAAGATTCACCTCTGTTGAAGAAATAAAAATAGCAGTGCATTTGTGACTTACAGCTCAGCCTAAAACTTTTTTAACAAGAGAATATGAAAACTTGTTGACAGATAGACGAAGTATATTAAAAAGGTTATGTTGAAAAATGATTATTTGTCTTTCCTGAAAGTTGATTAAAATAAATGTTACAGCCATAGTACAGATAATATTTGACTCACCGCGGGAGAAAGATGAGGCTTTCTACTCCCGTAAAGATTTACACCCTCGGAAACCCTGTACAGGGTCGCTATGGGTCGGAATCGACTCGACAGCACTTAACAACAACAACAACATATGTTATTACTTCTTTTTACCTTATAATTTGTTGTTATTGTCACCACTGTATCTCTGGTACCCTATTTTCAATCTTGTAGGTTTGCTTTACTTTGAATTCTGGGTTGAGTGCTGAGTGATACTGTCATGTCTATTAGTCTCAGGTTGTTTGCTGTTGTTGGTTTTCTGTCCCGAGAACTCCCTTTAGTAATTTTTATATGATTGGTCTGGTTTCTACAAACACATTTAACTTCTGTTTTTCTGAAAATGTCCTGGTATCACCATCATATTTAATGGACCATGTTTCTGGGTATATGATTCAGATTGGTAATTTGTATGTCTTCTTGCCTGCGTGAGAAATCAGGGTTTAGTCTTATTCTCTCTTGTAGGTAGCTTTTCATTTTTTCCTGAGCTGGTTTCAGGATTCTTTCTATATCTTTGATTTTGAAAAGTTTGGTTATAGTATGTCTTAGTGATTTCCTTTTGGGGTCCATTTTGTTTGGAGTTCATTCAACTTCTAAGTGTTGTCTTCTCATCTTTTGTAATATTACAGAAGTTTTCTTCCAACAATTCTTGGACAATTTTCTCTATTTTTTTTTTTTTTCTGTTTGTTTGTCTTTTGTCTCTTCTAGTTTTGAAATTCCAACCCCAAGTAATTTATTCCTCCTGAAAGTGTTCCACATAAATCTTAGGCTTTTTTTAGATTGTCTTGTTCCTTTTTCTGATTGTTCATCTAGCAGATAAATATTGAGAGATTTGTCTTCAAGATCAGCAGTTTGGCTTTCCATTGATTCAGTTCTACATCTTTG